GGATTGAACATCCCAAATGAATAGATATATTTAAGAACACAGTTCCACTCACTTCAAAGAGGGGAAACCGGTCAGATTTTTATAGTCTCATCTTAAGTTTCAGTTGAAAAATGGACATTCGTACTTCTGGCTCACACATTTCATAGGATCAAAGGGTAACTCAGGTTGGAAAGGACCTCACCAAAATAATACTGATACCTCTAAGGTTCCTGTTACCCAATTAAAAGGAAATTTCAGGTTTTTAACAGAGTGATGTAGGATTTGGAGTTTTCCAACTTCAACTTAATGTTCTTAAGGCAGTTCTTCAACAAGTTTTGCAGTACACACTTGAGGCAGCTAGTTTCGTGGTAATTGCTCTTTCTTAACTGAGGAATATATGAGTATGTAAGCTTCCAAGAAAAGGATGGTCACTGAGTCAGTGAATTTGATCTTTCTTGAGTATTTACTATCAACTACACTGGCATCTTTCTCTTGTCTCACATCCCTCTGTATGACATGTGCTCCCTCCCCCCGCCATAATTTGCTGTCAGGAGAGGTGCGGCATGGTGTCAGGACAAGCCACAGAGCTGTTAAAAATGGTAAGAGAGATCCTCTTACGCTTAGCAAAAATGCCAAAAACTGAAAGTGGCTTAAAGAGCTAGTAACCTCCTAATGAATCTCATTTTCTTACTTTGAAGCAATTTCTAAGCTGTCCACTTCTTTGAGGTCACCTTGTTGCTGTGTGGTAGCGCTGCATACCATCTCGGTACTGCTGTGGTCCAATTCCCTGCAGCATGTATGGGGAGTGTATAGGGTGCAAAACAAAACAAGAGGAGGAGGGATGTTTCTGTGTGCTTCTGTGATTAAAATGAGGGTTTGAAGGTGTAATGTTTTCTGATGAGTGAATCTTGAGTCTGATCAGAGCTGAAGGGAGTCAATAGCATACTCAACATCATAGTCCAGGAATTGCTTTAAATTCAGGACTGGGTTCTTAATGTTAAATGAGTAACTGTTACCTACAACCAATACCTTGCTTAAGGTCATGGCTATGACTGCTGGAACAACTCTGAAATCATGCCCCTCTGGTCATAAGCTGTGTCCTTGGAGTCACCTGGAAGCTTTAGAATCTGGACCAAGAAAAAGTGAATGAATAAATGGTGAAGGCCAAAGTTGCTAATGTTGCCCAGTGATCTGTATGTCATTTAACAAAATTTGCTGATAGTTTCTCATTTTCTCCTAGATAGAAAGATATATGGTCTTAAAGAGGCCATGACAGGCATACTTAAAATTTAGTGTTCCTGAGATTAACTGCCGTTATACCTTTTGAGACCGGTCATCTGCAAGCTGAAGTTTCAGAGAAAAGAATTGCAGTCTTTGCCGTGATTTTCCTGAATTCTCTTGCTTTGTTGCACTGTGAAAGATGGTGTAAGATTACTGAGCGGCAATGAATATAGGCAGTGTCTATAATGGGAAGTGGTAACAGTGCAGTTGGTGAATTGACAGCTCTGATTGCTCTATGAATCCTTTTCTTGTGTACAGAAGCATGAATTTATACTTAAGCTTACCATAAAACTGAAATTGGCACTTAAAATACTTGAGTTAAAATCAAGAAAAGCTATCAGTAATCTCATACATCCACTAACTTTAGTTACCTTTCGCTTCCCTTTGCCAACCCTTTGCATCATATTCTCAGTTAGTGCTGTTTTTTGCCATTTTCTGCTTTATGAAAGTCCAGTTTTCTCACCTTTACCTCCATGGTCTGATTTCATTTGTGAACCCAAGAACTTGTGGGGTTCAGCAATTATTTTTTTCCAAATCTGATTGAAGGAAATAATCAAATGGTTCTACTGACTTAAACCATACTGGTTTCTAGGTAATAACTCCAGAGTGAGAATGTAAAAGACTTCAACGGTTGCTAATGAATCTCTTCGTACCTTGTTTAAAATTATTTTTCATGGCATGATACACTTTTTAGAAATTTGCCCACTGTCCTATTTTAAAAACCTCTGCATGGCAAAATGGGAGAATAGGAACCTGCTTTGTGCTCTCTGGACACTTGAAAAACATGGCAGATAGTGTTAACTTGAGCTGAGATTTATCGTATATGGTTGTTAACTGATAAGCAAAGTTGAATAAACCTATTGATTCCCAGGAATTAAAATAAATGTCATCATGCTGTGATATGGGTGAGGAAAAAGGGCAAATAACGAAATCGGAACCAATCTAAAAATGCATTAACTTTATTACATTTGAGCTTCTTTATGCCTTCTTTTGGTTTGTTTTTTTTTTGCCTTTTTTACTTAATTAACTAGAGGGCAATTTCTCTTGAAATGTAGCTAGGATGGCTTTACAATTAAAGGGAGGAATAGCTCAGATTTCAGAGTTGGTGTGGTTGGTATCATTCATGCTGTGAAATAAAGGAAATGCTGAAGATAGCAATGTCTTGGATTCTTCTTGCTTAAATGTTGACTGGCTACAGTTCTGAGCTTTTCTGTTCCAAGGTGAGATTTTGTCACAGGAAAGGACCAGTGAATGCAAGGATTTGCAGTTCAGCTGCCTTATGTAGATACAGGAAGTTGCTGCTTGGCTAGGAAATGATCTCTTTCCCACCTACTGAAGTTGTTTTATCTCTCATCTTCTAGCACATATGTCTTTCCACTTATGACAGACATAAATCAGTTATTATTTCCTAACTCCCTGATTACCTGAACTGTAGCATTAATGTAGCAGTTCTGAATGCTTCTCAGTTTCTATGTGGGGCTTTTCTTTCCTGTAGAACTTTGTGTAGTGCATGGATTTTTTTGAACAGAAGCCTATCAAGAACGAGTCCTTTGAAATGAAAAGTACTGTGTTGGAAAATAACTCACTGAAAGAGGTTTCTTTGGTTTGAGATGGGATTTCTGTCAAAGAAGAGGTAGGAATTAGAAGGCTGGTGCTGGAGGGAGCAGCCTGGCAGATAAGGCACTTGCTTACTGTCAATGACATGACACACTGAGTCACTCTTCTGAAGTCTAAAGAGAGCCTAAAGCATCAGTTGATTCTGGGTTGAATCTGGCTTTTTTTGTTTGCACCTGTAAAAAGGTCTTGGTTTTATGTTGCAAGGTGAGAAGCGCTTGTGTTCTTAAAGGTTTAAGCTTTCAGGATGAGAGTATTCCCTTTTTTCTGAAACATGGCTAGAAAAAACAGTTTCAAGTCAGTTGTGTGTGACAGCGATGGATGAGTGCTTTGTCAACCTGTTGGCAAAGAGATGCTGTTCCTAGCATCCTCTCTTAATTTGTTTATGTAATTTATGGATTTTTTTGCCATAACTGAACGATGCACATCACTGAAGAAGATTCCTTCAAAATAATAAAGACTTCTGTGTTTCTGAGACACTGATGCATCTTTGGGGAAGCCCTTTCCAATGTTGTTTTGTATGACAGTTCTGTCATCAATTTGTTAGTTTAGAAGATGTGTTTAAGGCAATTTTGTCTGCTCCCTTTGTGTGGGTGACAAGTTACTGGTCATTGCAGCGCAAGGTGATTCACAGTTACCTTGTTTCCTGTGTCTAAAGGGTACCTCTGCATTAGACTACTACAGCATTTGTCTTGGATATGTGAACTACCACACAGGGTACCCAGATTCTGTTACTGCCCCAAAGGTGACTTGCTTACTGTATTTCAGTGCCCATGGGAAGTTTCAGCGAGTTGGGTACCCAGGGAAGCAGCAGAGTTACAGGAACACTGCCATTTCCAGGCAAAAGGCAGCTCTTTTATGCTGGGTTACTCTTCTGTCTCCAGGGCAGGTGGACATGCAGCTCTGTGGCCACATCTTTGCCAGGGGATTTGGGAACACTTGCAGCCCAAGTGAGAGGAGGTTGTTCTGGACATTTGGGTAAACGGCTCTCAGAAACATCCTGGAGGCCATACCTATACCCAGGAACGCTGTCTTTTCAGAAGTCTTTCAACTTGGATAAATTAATATATTGCAGCAAAATATCTTAGGTTCATACACATGAGAAGAAGGACTGCTGCAGACAATTGAGTTTAAATTTGACTGGCTGATGGTGTCTTCTGGCTCTGAAGATGTGAGGGCAAAGAGGGGTGGTGTGTTTGTAGGAAAGACTTCATTTTCTAGTGTACAAATCTGTATAAAAAATTTAGGTGACTTTCTTTTATTTCTTTCTTGTTTGCATGTTTTAATCATTAGTTGTGTGATACAGTGCTTCAGTAACTGCTCTGTGGTAACAGACTGTTTTATTAGAAGGCTGTAGTGCTGTAACTCAGGGATTGTGTAATTGTGAAAGGTTCACAGGGTGGGGAAATCTCTTACATTGAAACAGACTGCTTAGTTGTGTGTTACTTAATCTGCGAGAGCTAAATATTAATTAGCATAATTTGAGCTTCTTCCTTCTTGATTGGTAGTTAGGGAAAAGTGTCTGTATGATGTATGAGACAACAGCAGGGCATATACTACCTATTAAAAATGAGTATTCCTTTAATAGTTACTAAAAACATCAAGGGTGGTTTTCCTGTTTAAGACTAAAATTATCTGTAAAAGATAGTAGCATAGGATTTATTATGAAAAAACACATTTTTAAAAGAAAAATGCCTTATTATTTTATCAGAATAGCTAAAGGAAGAGCATAATGATGTGCTGTGTACACATCGACATCATGCGTTCAGAAGAGAAGCGTGTGCCATGGGAATGAAAGCCCGTTTGTATTTCGTGCTCGCCGAGCGCTGCCGTGCAGGCTTGGGTCGTGCTCTTCCCTTGAGCTTCGTGCCGGGAGTGGGTCTGCTGCCACCCCCTCAGCTCGCCCGGTGGCTGCGGCGGTGGGCGAGGGGTGCGGGCACTGCGGCGGGGCCGGCCAGCCCGGGAAGGATGACATCACCTCCAGGAGCATGTGATGCAGCCGGCTGGCGCGGAGGTTGCTGAGCTGTGTAGGGAGAGATTGGTGCAGATATTTATGGCATCTCGTTTGAGTGCGGTAAATGCCTTTAATTTTTTTTTTTCTTTTTAAATGAAATCCTCATAATTGCAAACGTTTTGTGGTGCAGAGGCTTTAAAAAAAGAGGGGGAGGGGAACCCACCCCAAGCCCTTAAAACCTGCTTATATTGCTGGTTTTTTTGTTTTGTTAATACTCTGTTAGAGATAAAAATATGATACTTTCTTGCAGTATTTACCCTCTTTGCTCCCCAGCATTCTTTCATCAATTGTAATCCCCACAGTCTTTTCTGTTAAGCTTTAACACTGCAGAAGTGGAATAAAAATAGGCTGTTTAGAGCGGCTGGAATATGATAATCCAGACAGTGGGCCTTAAGGATATGCAGATCCAGAACACGAGCCAAGCACTAATGTATTTGTTAGGGTGTTTACCTTGAGCAGCCCCTTAATAGTCAAAGAAACGTTAGCTAAATGTTTCTTGCTTTTTACATGCCACAGACGAAGTAAAATGTGCAGCTTCTGCGTATCATCTGAGGTGAAGTAGTTTAAGGGCTTAGAAGTCTGAGCAGGCAAGTTGTGGGTAACATCAGTGTCTTGGGTAATTTTGAGCTAAAATACAGCACTAGTTCCTGCATGCTTTTTAGGTGAGGAGAAAGTGTTTTCTACCTCTGAATTTACTGTAAAGAAAAGGAATTGCCATGGTTGAAATGAAAGCTGAGCATGCTAAATTGGCATTAAATTTATGGTGGGTAGCTCAAAGCACATTAAAAAAACTTTAACTCTGGAAGTGTGCCTGTATGCCTTAACAGTCAGCTAAATCCCAAATATTTCGAGGTGGAAAAAAGGTATTTGCTCTCTTTTTAGATTTGTTGTTTAAGCCCAAGGTTTTCTTAAACTCTTGTTTAAGGGTTTAGTCCCTACTAAATGAAAGCTTAGTAGGAAGAAGACTGTAGGCAGTTTCAGTTAGAGGCTGATAACCCATAGCCAGTCCTTCTAGAGGAAGGGAATTATGCAAGGGGTTCCTTTGGGGCTCTCTTAGACCCCTGAAAGTCTACGTGCAAATGTAAAAGAAATAGCTGTGTCCCTTCGCTGCTTTGTTGGTCTGTAGTTCCAAAATAATGTCCATCGTGTAGAAGCCCTCCATGCAGCGTTGTTACCTGAGGAGCCAGTTTTCCTGGTCTGGCCTTTCTGAGAATGTGTATTGAATTTTGGGTTTGTTTTTGGTTTATGGTGTTCATGGAAAAACAAGGAACTAGCCAATGGCTGGAAGAGGATTTGTTTATTTTTCTGTTTGTATTCTGTGGGTGCTGAGACAATGTCCTGGTTGAACACTTCAGTTATAGTGAATTGGAAGGACCCATTGCTGACAGACATTTGTCTAAATGCTTTTAAAAATGAAAATCCTCAGCGATGGATAGTCCATAGGCTTCCACAGGCAATCCCATGTGCTGCTTCACTGTTCTTTCCTTTGCAAAACTGTCTAAAGTAAACTTCTCACTGTAATTCTAGCCAGCTTACTTCTGCCACCACTAGACTTTGTGTTTTGAGGACTGCTACCATGTCACCCCTCAGTTCCTCAGACTAAACAGTGTCATTTGGTTTAGTCCTTTCTCATAGCTCATGACGTGTAAACACTTGGCCATGTTTGTCCCTTGGTTGTTCTGTTTGGTGTGTCCTGGGTCTGTTTTAAAGGGTAGTGCCCATAACTAGATACTGTAGTGACACAGAAGTCTCAGCTGGCTGGAATAGAAAACCTGTGATGCATTTTACATATATGATGTCCTTATTTACAAATCTTATGTTACTTGGTGACACTGGTGTGATACCTTCAGATTTTAGCTCTGTAATGCACAGCTCTTTCGTTAAAGCTCAGAGTCTGAGACCAGGGAATGTGAAACATTTGGATATTTTTGAGGAGGAAGTGAAATGATGGCCTCCCTGCTGGGCATCAATGACAGCTTCTGCTGCCATCTCTTGACGGTTTGTGGCCCTTTAGCGCAGAGGAAGAACAATCTATTCTAGAAAAGTGCCACATGTACACCAGAGCTTGCTCTTGTAAGATTTCTCTGAAAAATAATCAAGAAGCTCATTTAACCTTCCAAATAGCTCAAACTGTTGCTCTTAACTAACACAGCTACTGTGTTGTGACAGGCTTTTGGGGCTCTCTTACTTAACAGCACTTCTGGGCTTCAGCAGTGATAGAGAAGTAAGTGCTTCCCACTTACCCCAGAAAAGGTACTTTCTTCAGAAGTGAGATTTTTTTAAAAAGCACATGAATGCAAAGAGGCTGAGAAGGATCATACAGGCAGTTGAAGTGTAGGTACAAAACTACCCAATTTTTGTAAGATTAACAAGATTGGCTCAAAAGGGACTAATTCTGTATTGTACAGGTCAGTATGGAATATAAGGTCATAAAGAAAATGCTTACGAAAATCTCTCTTATTAAAGAAGAGAGGAGTTTAGAATCTGGTCACAGAAATGAAGTGGAAGTAGAGAGTAGGGACAAGTTGGTAATGTGCTGCTTTGACTGCAGTCATTCAGTTTGGGGATCACTTCAAACTCCATGGGTGTATAGAGTTGACATGACAAAATGCTGTTCCTGTCGGGGCAGAAAAGACATGGTTGGGAGCTTTATCTCACAGTTCTGTTTACAGAAATGATGTATGAAAAGTTGCATGTAAATAGCATTGGGGTTTTTTTGTGGGTCTTTTTGTTGTGTTTTAGAGGGATTTGGGAATTTTTGGTTTGGGTTTTGTTTGGGGTTTTTTTGTCTGGTAATTGTTTTAAAGGTACCTACTCTTACTAGCTTGATACTACTCTCTGCTGGAACAAAAAGTGAAAGTGGGATTTGGGATGCCTAAAAGCAACGGGATCCAACTGATAGTTTTTATTTACTGATGAAAAGGGCAGATTCCAGTATTTGGTTTTCTACTGAGACTTCCTAACAGACCGTGCTATTTGTGTGAAGCTAGTCAAACCAGTGACTTTTTCATTAACATATTTTAAAGGTTTAGTGTGTTTTCTTTGCAACCTTTTACTGTAAGGTTATCTTAATTGCTGTAATCGTAACATTCAGATAGTATTTCAAGGGTAAATGTTATACAGTGCATTCATTAAATGTGGAAGCTGAGCTTCTCTGAATTTCTGACTAATTACCTTGTCTTTTCCTTTTTTTAGGGTTTCGCAAAAATGATGAGATGAAGGCTATGGAAGTATTGCCAATTTTAAAGGAAAAAGTTGCATACCTTTCAGGTACAGTTATTTTCTGCTCTGATGGAATACATAGCTATGTTGTTAGTCACACGTAAAATGGTATTTAAAATGCTTTAAGTATGACAAAAGTCAAAGAAATCTAGGATAGTATCTATTCCTGTTGGGTATCCCAATCATAACATGAGCATTGTGAAAGGATGCGTAATACCGAAGGTTTGTGTTTTGTTGAATGTGGAACACCCTGCTTGTTGTTGTCCCGGTTGTGTCCTGTCCCCTTAGCAAGTCTAGCACCGTTATTTAGAAAAACCTGCTGTACCATAGTCAGATTCCTTCTCTTATTTTGGGTTCTTCTGCTGGAGAGTTTTACAGAGATGACATTGTTACTGGCCCATCTGAAACACTGGAGAAATATCTCTATTGCAGAAGTGAAACTTCAGAGCGTATCCTTTGAAGCATATGTAATATCTTCATGAGGAAATGAGTTAGCATCCAATTTTAGCTATCTTCAGCGTACACCTTGAAGGTGGTTGTTTACTTAATGAGGAATAGCAGAGGATTTAAAAGTGGGGTTTAAATAAATGAATATCATAACATAGTGTAAAACTTGATAACTTGACTTGATGGAGTGGTGGCTGAGGTGTGTGTTTTTGTGAACTACGTTTTGGGTGTGACTTTCTGAAGTAAGTATTTCCAAATCTGTTGGGATTAAATGATACCAGTCTTTTTGCCATAATCTTAGTGTCAGATTTAGAGGACAGTCTCATATTTTAAAGAGGGGGTTTTGGTAAATAATTAGTCAAGAACTCCAAGAGTAAAGCTCTTCTCTGTAAATATTAAAACATACAAAGTGATCCCTGAAGTTGCACTCTTTTTAGAGATTTGCTGTGCATGGATGCTGATGCTTGCAAGTCAGGTTGTGTAGTTCGCGATACTGCATCCTGTCCAATCTGCTCTGTTAAGCCAAGTAGAGGTGTAAAGCAAAAAATATTATTCTTTTTAAAAGGTCCTGGTAGCTCTAGTGAATGATATAACAGACTGTCCAGAGCCAGTTTCCCTGGTAGTGTGGAAGTCCTGATTTTTCTGCTTATAAATTGTAGTGGTGGTGAAGGCTTGCTTAAAACTGTATTTTCAGAGGAAAAGAAGGAGAGAAAAGGGAGTTAAGCACAATATTTCAATCTCTCATTACTCTTTTTTGGACTTTGTTTTTTGGCACTTGATGAAAATGTAGTCATTTTCTGTTCTAAAACCTCTGAATTTACAGGTTTCCGTAGCTTAGTTTAGAACCCTTAGAAGGGATCTGGAAGATGATAGGTGTTCTGTAATGTTAATTTGTAAGCGTATGATGTTCTCAAAAGGCATTAATTCAGAGAAAGTGAATTGGGCCGAATGGAAGCTGAAGATAAATTTAAAGGGAGATGGATTATGAACCAGAAGAGATGAGGTCTGGGCAGGAAGAAATGGTTACCAACTTACCTGTGTGAAGGTAGCAGCTTCTGATAGAAGAACAGAGCTCTGGGCAGCAAGACTGGCTGGAACTGGTTTGACAAAATCCATGTTATCACACTTCCATTGCAAGTAGGGCTCAAATGATATGAGATACATCAGTGGTGCAAGTGATTTAAAAAACCCAAGAACAACCCGCATCAAAACAAACCAACCAACCCACCCGTCTCCATCACCCCAAACTACCACCTCCTCTAGAGCTTAACCATTGTGGAACTAGAGCTGTCAAGCTTTATACCTGGGAACACAAAGGTAAGGAAGACTGTTGGATTACTGACTGAGAGGCTTTCAGTGTAACTCTTTTTTTTTTTTTCTTCAAAAGTACAACTTTTGCTAAAGTACTTGCTTTTAATATTTGCAAGTACAATAACTGGTTAAGGTCTCTAGAAGTAGAACAGATTTTTTTGAGATATCTTTACTAAAATTGTTAAAGGTAACCCTAAGTTATCACCACTAAAAACTCTAATAGTCCCATTAAACCTAAGGCATCCACAAGCATCACTATAATGTTTGTATTTTTGTTCTCCCTCATTTATATTTGAGTTCTGGTAGAGTTTTTGCAACGTGATCATTGTTGATTGTCAAGTACCTTCTCAAGTAGAAATAAAGTACAACAATCAACAGTGCAAAGAAATGGTTCTTTTTTATAGTCCAAGAAAGCTACACAAATAACACAGTCTGAAAAAAATTCATGGAGTGTTTGAGATCCTCAGTTCACTTCCCCAGTCTTTTCTCTGCCCTTCTGTGCTGTGACCTTCCTTCTCCAAGTTAAGTGAGTAAGTATGGGCTGTATAGCAGTATACTCATCATTGTGTTCTTAGAATACTAAAGACACTGATCTTTCCACAATACTGATTTTTCTTAAGCACTTCTTGAGACCAGCTTATTGTGAGATGAACCCATAAAGATGAACTGTCTTATGGAGAGACCTGGACAGACGGGAAGAGTGGGCTAGCAAGAAGAGTAAGAAGTTTAACAGGGACAAGTGCAGAGTCCTGCGCCTGGGTCAAAATAACCAAATATCCCAGTACAGGGTAGGGTCTGTGTGGCTGAGGAGCAGCCTTGCTGAACAGAACCTGCGGTCCTAGTGGACAACAAGCAGAACGTAAGTCAGCAGTGTTGCTGCAGCAACACAGGCAAATTGGATCCTGGGCTGCATCCACGAGAGCATTACTGGCAGAGACAGAGGCAAGATCATCCCGTTGTACTTGGTGTATTACTGTGTCCAGTTCTGGTCCATACAGTTAAAGAAAGACACAGGCGTACTGGAGAGGGTCCACAGGAGGGCCATGCAGGTGAATGAAGGGCTGAAGAACCAGTCTGTGGGGAAAGACTGAAGGAGTTAGGTCTTTTCTCCTTGAAGAAGAGAAGGCTTGGGGGACTTCATCACAGTATTCCGGTACTTAAAGGGCAGAGGCTCTGTCTTTATGAGGAGCCACAGGGAGAAGGCAAAGGGCAATGACTACAAGTTGTACTGGGAGGGGTTTTGTCTCAATATAAGAAAGAAGAATTTTTAGAGCAGTAGCAATCATTCACTGAAAGAACTTCCTCAGGGACATGGTGGAGTCTTCATCACTCCAGGTTTTCAAGATGTGATTGGACAGGGTGCTAGATGATCTCATCCAGGCTCCCTTTCCCATGGGAGGTTGGACCAGATAATCTTCCCAGGTTTCTTCCAACCTGGGCTACTCTGTGTGATTATTCTGTGTTTCTGTGAGAAATTTGAATCTGAAGTCGTCACTGAAGGAGTTGCTGGAAATTTTGAGGCTCTCATCTCCACTAGGCTTTTGAGTTCCCACTGCGGCCTTTCTGTGTGCATCTTGCTTTTGCTTCCAGCACCAGACTATTTCTACCATAGGTATCTCCTAAGCCATTCTTGAGATAATACTTCGATTCAGTCAGGAATCTGTTAAAGCTCTTGGTAACAGATACCTCCCACTGAGGTACCACTTTTACTCCGAATGTACTATGTTGTAATTAAAGTGTATTTATAAGAGTTTCATGTTTCTCTTCCAACAGGTACCTCTTCAATCTGTGTTAGCCTGAGCTAGGCTGTAATTCTATATTGCTTTGTTTCAGTCTTTGCTTTTCATTTATTCCTTTAATTTGTTTTCAGGTGGATATATTTAACAGATCTACTCAATGTAATTTCTTTTTCTTTGCATGGTCTGAGTGCTTCATCACTTTGAAAACACTGTTTCAGTAGTTGATGTTCCTGTGCCACAAATCACAATAGTTCTGATATGGTTCACTCTTGCTTTCTCCTCCATCATCACAGTCCAGTTGATGGAGCTGTTAATGATGTGGTTTTGTAAATGAACATAAAACTGAATTTTTCATAATTAAGCATATCTGAAAGAGTATTTAGATGGAAGACAATTCTTTCTCGTTGCCTCTGTTATCTGTAGCACCAGCCAGTGTAGTTAAAAAAAAAAGGCGAATTTACAACTAGATTTTGTACAATGAATGTAGTACAAATTAGACTGGTGCCAGTAGATCATCTGGACTTGTTAAAATCTGTGTGCTCCTTGCATATTGCAGTGTAGCTATGATGCTCAAACTGTTAAACAAAGGTAGAGTTAATGATTGAGATGACAGTTGTAGTCTCTGAGAATTCAAATCTGAAAGAGATCTTGAAGCAGGTATCTTTTTGCTAGGACAGGAGGCAAGGAAGTACAGAAGAACAAATACTTTCAGGAAGTATTGTGAACTACATATTGCTATGGGTAGGTAGATAACTGCAGAGTCCCAAAGCTCACCAAGCTAGCCTGAAGTCTGGTATCTGTAGGTATTGAGTCTGGAATAAATTCTCAATTAGAAATACTCATCCTCCATGAAACCAGTCTGACAGACTGGACTGCTTTATCTTGTAGTGGTCAAAGTAATAAAGTGACTTGATGTGTAGAATGCAAATACATGGGTGCAGCTTCACTGTGAATTCCATGTTGTATTTCTAAAATTGCAAAAATCTCTCTCAAAAAAAAAAAAGGGCAGGGGGTGCAGGTGGGTGGAGAGGCAAGGAAGAGAAAAAGCTTCCTTAAACTGATTTTCATCTAACTGGGAAATAATCTGCCTGAGTATTGTGTGTCTGACCACCTGAAATTGAAAAGCCTTCTAGTGTTGTAACCATGAAGTATGGATGGAGTCTGGGATGCAATTTTTTGGTTCAGTTTTGAACTGAGCTCTGAAGTACAGATACTCTTACACATGCTTACATGAAGAGATGCATTTTCTTACAAGGTGCAGTTATCATGCTTTCATATGAGAAACGGCACTTGATAACTTGTCCCTCTTCAAGCATGCCGTAAAAGCCACTGTTTAGCCTTTCCTAAGTACTTTGAGACTAGGTAAGAAGGCATGTCCTGAAGTAACCATGCTTCGCAGCCTGTTGTATTTTGGTGCCATTTGAAGACCATTGACAGGACTGCTGTTAGTGATGTGCACTAGACAGAAGTGATTCATGTTGGATGACTCATGTGCGTTGATCAACTACTCATATGAAACATCTCTGCATAAATAAAGACAGAATATCTCAGTACTGTGAGGGTTTTATATAAAAAAGGGGTAAAACCAGCAGTCTCACTGATGATAATAATAGCTTAATATGTTTTTGTTAAGCCAAGAGAAATAAGAGGTTGAGTTGAGTGAAGACTGTTGTGAGACAGGAAATTCCCACCTGATGCCTCATACATTGTTGCTTTTTACATTGCTCTCTGTGTATGACAGAGGAGCATTGGGAACAAAGGAAATGAGAATTACTTATTGGAAAAGACCTAAAAAAGCTTTCAGTATAGCTTGTGAAAAAAATAAGTCTTGGGGACTTTTTTTGCGTAGTATTTACAGCTTTGGTATCTGGTTTATAACTGGATAGTGATTTTTTTTTTTATCAAAAATCAAGGCTGTACTAATTTCTTCAATACTCGTCTGTACCTGAAATTTGCATGACAATTTTTGTCTTCAACATACAAAAATTTCAGAATATGATTTATCAGAAATGTAAGCACCATACTTTAAGTAAGAGTTTTCTCTGTGGTGTATGTGGAGCTGGGAGCCAACTGAAGTGTCATCCAAAATGACATAAAGAATACAGGTTTCTTTCCTCTGCCATGTTGAAAATTTGCATGATACAGGCGTTGCTGTGTGGGAAAGGCCCGAAGGACTGATCTGAGGTGACTGCATGTAACAAGGAATTTGTTTAAAACACGTGAAGAGTGTTAAAGACGTTTCAGCATATGCTATTGTCTGCTAGCTGCTGCTTTTGAAGGAATTTCTACCCTGAGCAATCAAGCACTTTTTCTGGGGGGTTGCAAGTAGTAGTGTTTTCTAATTGAAACCTGTTTTTTTTTCGTATTTGTAGCTGATGGCTGAGGAGAGGAGTAAGAGCTGCAGCAGACTTTCAGCTTAATGTGATAGCTTTGAATCCCAGTGATCACTGGAGCTGAGCGGAGGCATGGGCTGCTGCACTCCCAGTCTTGTCATTTATCCTTCCTCTCTCTTGAGGTTTCTGTCTTGTTTTTATCCTGCCACTTGCTATGCTAAAATCCTCAAAGCTCCCTGTTTGGCAAGTGGGTCAGGGTGGTCAAGACCAGACTTGCATCTCTCCATTAGAATGAGACAACTCAGTTGTTTTGCATGTCCCACTTAAGACAGTCATGAAATATAAGAATATGAATTTCCTTTTAAGTTTTATCATTCTGTAAAGCTGAAATGCCAGAAACTTAAATTTGCTTTTGCCTTTTCTGTGTTTCATTTGGTGCCTCATGGGGAACACATCCAGTGCAGACAATTCCTGGAGACCTTGACAACCTGGCTTAGTGACTCAAGCAAGCACACTCAGATTGTGGTGGGAAGGATATGGATACATATTTGAGTGACTGGTTTTATTTGTTTGCTTTTGGCCTTCATTTTGAAGGGATTTTTTTAAAAAACTTTGTTTCAGTAACATGGATTTACAATGCAAAATCATTCAGGACAGAGGATACTGTTTTTCTGCGTTTCCATGGGACAGGAGAAAACAGTCCACACATCTGTGGTTGAGAACATATATGTGAAATTTAGCTTGTAGGAATGTGTCTGTTCTTATACAAGTGTTGATAGAGGCAGCCTACTGACTTGAATTTAGCATTTAGTTATAGTAATATTTTGTTGTCACTAGCAATGAGTTGGATATAAAATTACATTTTAATGTTCAACTACAGTAAGTCTGGCAATGTAATGAGTATGAATACTCAAAGTCAGATTTTGTTGTAGTGAGTGGATTCAGAATTTCCTTATTTTGCATTGCTAAAAGAATTAAAAGCTATAATCTGATAATTCAGAATCTGCATATCAGAACAGGGTGAAAATATAAATTTAAATGCTTAAATAGTATCCACCAACTCATCTTGCATATGCATTGGGTGTGAAATACTATACACCTAATCTCTGTGATAGAAATGAAGTTAACACTGAGTATCCTCTAAATATTTGCCTACAAAGTAACATAACTCTATATGTAATTATATGTATATGTCATATATCATATGTATACGTAAATAATGTACAATTGGTGATTAAAAAATTAAACACAACAAAGCACCATTGCTGGAGACTTCACGCTGCCAGTCAAACTTGAATGTGACTGTAATGTGTAAGTGTAATGCTATGATTATTCTTTGTTTCAATTTTTTTGACAGATACTTCTTCATCGTAGGAATTGTGGCAATATGCTTATTGATACTCCTGAAATTCAGTTTTAAACTGCTCTCTAAGTGACAGTGTTGGCATTTAAGTTGAAATAATTTTTTTTTAAAGTGGATATTCATGCAACAGTGTAAGACTTAGTTTTTCCAAAAGCATTCTGCAGATTAGTTTTGCAAACCCAAATGGTGTTATGCTGTGGGTTGGTTTTTTAAAATTTTTTATTTATTACTATTTTTCAGGTGGCAGAGATAAGCGTGGAGGTCCCATTCTAACGTTTCCAGCTCGTAGTAATCATGATAGAATACGGCAAGAAGACCTTAGAAGACTAATTTCATATCTAGCGTGTATTCCTAGGTAAGTGATGGTCACTTGATAAGTTCTGAAGCTATAGAACAAAATAAATGGATTATATTGCCGTACATGCACATTGTAGAATACTGAGCAGGTTAAGAAAATTAGCAATTTCATATGAAGTTCTGTCAGTTACTGTTTTCAGACTGCTTTTTTATAAAAGACCTAAATAATTACTCTGCCCTGTAGAAGGAAGGCTGTTGGCAGGACAATGGGTGTGCTTTAGCTGGAAGTAGGTTGTGTGGAAATAGCACTGTCATGCCATGTTGCTGTGAACATATTGAAGATTGCAAATACAACTGAAAGGCTTTCAGTGCATCAGCAATTAGAAACATGCTGGTCATCATTCACAGTACTCCTTGTGTGGACTGAGGTCAGCACAACACTCTTGTTACTTGTGTTAGATAAGTTACAGTATCCTGATATAGTACAGGAATAACTAGGAGAGAGATACATAATATTGCTTGTCTAGGTCTCTGGTAAACCTGTGGAGAGCTGTTTAGCATCAATAGATTTAAAATAAAAAGTTGGTGCAAGTTTTTGTGTCTCTGCAAGTATGGCAAAGCTTTGAGAATAATAGGAACTTTATTAAAAAACTTTCATACAAGTCATGTTTTAAGGACTGGTCACACAACTGTTGCTAATTAAGAACTCCCAGTTGGTACAAATAGCCCCACGCAGTTGGTCTGTTAATTAGTTATTGCAGTACTGTTATTCTAGGTGGCTGAAGATTCAGAGGAATCCGTTGTTTGGCAAGAGATCTAAACACTTAAGGTGATTCAGTCTCACAATTTTAATGATGTATTTGATTTAAAAATACTGCTAAATTTAAGTCATCAGTGTTGACTGGACCAGGTATTAGTGCAGGTATTACCTAACAGATGACCTTGGGTGGCTAAAGCCTCCCACAACAGTTTTTGTGATCCTTGGCCAAAAGAGATTAATCCTTTGTCAGATAATTAAATATCATCCGCCACATGGCAGGAGGACACGTCTGCATCATACCACATGATGAGGGGCTGCTTTGTACACCCGAGTAGATGAGTAGACGTATGCTTTGTGAGTTAGTAGCAAGTAGTCCTCGCACAATGGTCAGTTTGTGTGGTAGGGTAGGGATGGGCTGAGCAGTGCTTGTATAATATTATGCAGCTTTTCAATAATGTGTGTATCTTTCCAGTAGTTGCTTTTGTCCTTTAACCCCGTGAGGCTGTTAGGAAACTTTTTCACGTGATCAGAAAATTGTACGTTGTAACCTATGTGTATTCTAAGGTAGTAAATTTTAATGTATTTTCCTGCCACCATTACCATTTTTGGCATTCCTGGGAGCAGGTGGAACAGCCAGTGTTTTATCTTGATAAACTTTTTTAAATGGTGTGAGTTCCTCTCCTCCGCAACCCACTTCCCCTCAAAAAAACCCACAAAATCCAAACAACTTTAAAAATACCTCCTCCTCTAAGGAACATGTATTACCACTTCTTTCAGAAGCTTTTCTGCTCTCCTGCATCAGTCGTAAAGTCATCTTTCTGCAGTGTGACCAGTGAGACTGTGTGAAGTATGCCAGTGAAGCTTCCCTACTCCTTGCACACTCTTAAAACCTCACCACATGAACTCCAGAATTGCATTTACATTAGTCACATCCCTGAAAATGACTCATGCACTCAAACAATGGCTATTTGGTCCCTTTTGGTAGTCTATTGGCTGTGACACGTTGATTTTGAAATATTTTACTTTTCCATGTTAAAAGGGTCACGTAGGAAATTCTACTGGAACAAAATCAAAATTTCTGGTGGTGGTGGTGATTGCTGCTTTTGAGCAGTGGAAAGCATTAAGCATGCAAAAAGTATTGATGAAAAGAAATTAAATCTGTCATTCTCAGAAGAGTTGCCAGAGAATTTGAGTGTAAGGTCTGTCGACTTTTGGACAGCAAGATTGAGCTCAATTTTTTTAGGTACAGGTTGATGCGGTTTTCTTCACAGCCGTGAAATGCTTTCTTATCCATTAACTATCCACAAATCAATCCTGGTACAGGAGGAATTCTCCATAAAGGTTTTATTTTTCCCTCTACGAAGTAATACTCTTTAACTCTCATACAATATGGGACTAGATCTGAGACAGTTTTAAAAAGTTGTGGAAGTGGTAGGTAAGAACAATATGCCATCTTCTGTCTTTTAGAGGAACCTCTTAGTCATTGCGAAGGCATGAATATTATCAGCGTGTGTGTGTGTTCTGAAGAGTCAATTGTAAATTGCTGCTTCAGTAAGTGGTGTGTTTAAGGGGAAGAAGAAACAAGACTGGAAGATGAATCATCATTAATATAAATAATGAAAATGAAAGAGGAGATAAAGGCAGATTATCAAATCAGCAACAAGTGTAAAGCTAGTTTTGCAGAGGGGTGAGAAGCTTCCTGAGAGGTTCATGTGATCTGCTCTATGTGTTAGCTCGTCAGCAGTGAAACCCTAGGGTATGACAGCTGAGGAGACCACGTTAGTTAGACAGTGTAGTGCAGTAGAGTGCTGTGATTAAAGTTGTAATGCTTGCTTGATAACCTTTTCTTTTTTCTGCAGTGAGGAAGTATGTAAACGAGGATTCACCGTCATTGTAGATATGCGTGGGTCAAAATGGGACTCCATAAAGCCTCTGCTGAAGATTTTACAGGAATCCTTTCCATGTTGTATTCATGTTGCACTGATAATCAAGCCAGACAATTTCTGGCAGAAACAGAGGACTAACTTTGGCAGCTCTAAGTTTGAGTTTGAGGTAATTTCCACTACAGTATACAAATTTACATTTATTTCATGGTTTTCAATGTGCTCACTACTGATCAGTATCTTGAAAACTCAGATAAATTATGTTCTGCATGAGAGAAGGGGTACGTTAGCCCAGTGGTGCTAGACGGAATGGAGTTTTCTTCATGTACTTAGACTAGGTCGTTTTGCATGTTGTCATTTATATTCTTTTTCTGCATGAGCTTGAGAATGATGGAATTAGGGTTTTACCCCTAATAGTAAAAAGCTGGGTTTCATCTGTTTGTTTTCTTGGTCTACACTGGGGTAGTCATGGTATCACCAGCATCCTGTGCAGGGGAAAGCAGCCAGCTGAACCTTGCCGTTATCCTCCTGCTGCTTTACAATACACAAAGTAGTGTACTATTACAAAACAGTAGTCAAAAGAGTGGTTACTGTTTTCTCCTTAAGTGTAGCGAGGTAAGAAAGAAATAAAATATTTCTCTCATTTGAGGAAAAACCTGCATGACAGGAGGCTGATCAGAACTGATATTTGATAAGAAGTGTATGAGAAAAGTTAAGTCACGTGGACTTCATGAGCAAAATTATCAACTCTTAACATGGGAAAACAAAAACTTGAAAGAAAATTTCAAATTCATTTTAGTAACAGCATTTTTAAATTTTCATTTTTGTTTTAGACAAATATGGTGTCTCTGGAAGGCCTTACCAAAGTAGTTGATCCTTCTCAGCTAACCCCAGAATTTGATGGCTGTTTGGAGTACAACCATGAGGAGTGGATAGAAATCAGAGTTGCCTTTGAGGACTACATTAGCAATGCAACCCATATGCTGTCCAGGCTGGAGGAACTGCAAGATATATTGTCAAAAAAGGAAATGCCTCAGGACCTGGAAGGTGCTCGCAATATGATAGAGGAGCATTCACAATTAAAGAAGAAAGTCATTAAGGCCCCCATCGAGGACCTTGATGTGGAAGGACAAAAGCTGCTCCAGCGGATACAGAGCAGCGATAGCTTCCCCAAAAAGAACTCTGGGTCAGGGAATGCAGACTTACAGAACCTTTTACCCAAAGTATCCACCATGCTGGACAGGCTGCACTCAACACGGCAGCATCTGCATCAGATGTGGCATGTGCGGAAATTGAAATTGGACCAATGCTTTCAGCTCAGGCTGTTTGAGCAGGATGCTGAAAAGGTAAGGGGGTGGGGGAGGGGAATAAAAACGGATGCTGCCATTGGCAGGAGCAAAGCTTGATGGACTTGAAAGAGGTACCAGGGATAACTGCAAATAGTAATTTTTGTCTTTATTCACTAGCCTTTTAATGAGAAATAAAGGATTTCTTGTTTGAGAGTGACTCTTAGTCTTCTGGAGTAAAGAGGTTGGGGTAGTAGTTCTAGGCAGTAAAGAACACAGGTAGCTCTCACCGAAGAAAATTTTAAGTGGTAGTGACTTTAAAGGTTTTGCTTAGGTAAGTTTTTCTTCCAGACAGGTGCTTTTGCATGCATCAAGTAAAGATAAATACTGTATACTTTATAAATACAGATGATTAAGGACTGCATCTGTCTCTTTTTGAGCGACCCTCAGGATTTGAGTGACAGGCAGTTGACGAACTTTGAAGAGGCTGACATTGGGAACTGCTTCATTGATGTAGGATTTAAAGTCCCAGGCTAAAAACTGATGTATCTCTTCTGACAGTGCATATGTTACTAACAGGGGACTGAGTGATCTCACAATGTTTCAGGCTAATCAGTCCCTTCAAATGAGAAAGCCCTTGATTGTCATGGAATCTGAAGAGGAAATATGGCAGACAGTGCACTTTTAGATGAGCTCAAATAAGGTCTGTTTTCCTATAGGATGATTTTGCAATCAGTTATTATTAACATGTTACCATGAAACAAATAACTTCAAGGAAGTGCCCTCCAGCATTGGTCATAAGCAGATGCATGGTGAACAGTAAAAACAAAGCAAACACATATAATACTTCTCCTTCCTCCTCCTTCCTCTGTTTTCTTCCCCTGTACTTTCCCTTACCCCAATCATTTCAGCTCACGGACTTTCTCTACACTACTCTTAATGTTTTCTGCTGTGTTTTAAAAAGAAATACTTTTTTAAAAGTACCATTTAAAGTAAGTGTTTACTGAATGGTATAGCTGAAAATAATAGGGGCATGTAAAGAACTGAAAAAAAATCTGTCAAGTGAATTTAGAGTTATAAAATTATTTAGAAAAATGTCAAGCTGTTGGTCTAATATTGCTCTTTCGGCCCTGAAATTATTTTTAGCAACCTTTCAGTCACTTAATTGCATCATTTATTACTCTTTATTACAGCATGAACTAAAGGTACTTTGATAATGCTTATGTGGTATTGAAAGATATATTCTTCATTTACTCATCTAAATTTGCCTACATATCTTGTGTTTTGAGAAACTTCTTGTGAAATACTCAAGCCTGTGGGGTTGCTCTCTGTCCTGCCATGTGGTTGCATAAGCTCTTCTCTCTGTTTTCTAGGTTTCTGATTCTAAGAATAAGTCTATATTAAATTAATGCATCTTTCTTTCAAAATAGAGGGAAATGTTATGCACCTCAAATTGGGGTTGACAGCAGCTAGCATACCTAGGACTTTATTCTCTCATCAACCAGTAGAAAAAGATTAAAAAGAAGGTTTGTGTGGTATCTAAAATCATTTGTGGATTAAGGTGCTTGCCTTAATCCATTTGCAGCCCTTATTTCACTGCTGGTGTCAGATTAGATTTCATAGCTCAGGGCTTCTTCATTAGTGTATGTCTATGTGGTTTAGTCAGGTGTGGGAAAGGGCTGGATCTGTGTTGGAAAAATAAAGTGTATTGGATGGGGAGAAAGAAATACATTTGTTTTGGAGGACTTGCATAACTCTTTGTGCAAGAAATCTGGGCTGGTGTGGAATAGAAGGCAAGAAAGAGGTGAGGTGGGAGGGAATCTGATTGGAATTGCCCTGTGGGTATTTGAAGGCAGCTAAGTCAGACTACCTAGAGAAAGGTGATTGCAAGCATGACCAGTGCCTACTTTGAATAATGTTCTAACACATCTTCACAGTAGTCTAAATAAGAAACTGAAAATGTTAGGATCAGCTCTCGAAGCTCTTTAAACTTTTGTTTGTTTGCAGTCCTTATCATGTTGTGCTCAACTTAAAATTTGATTTGTTGTGTACCTGGGTGGAATGATGGATTTGATAATGCTCTGTTATTTAAAGATCTTCTAAAATATGCTGAGTACTTATGTTGCTACCATTTTTTTTTTCTGAATAATCATTTTCAGCTTATCCAGAGAGTAGGTGGGTCTTTTGAATTGAGAGATAGTGAAGATTTCAAGCCACTGCGAGGATGGGGAGTGGTGTGTGTTAAACTTAGCTTTTTGCTGTGTTGCTTGGCCTTTGAAAAATTTGTCATCCAGTGCTGCTGTTCACATACCTATGTACCTCCACTGATGGTCATTGACAGATAAGGTCTTACCTAAAATTTGTTTGAATCTTAAAATACTTTAAAAAATGCACCAAAACCAAACCAACCAAACAAAAAACCCAACCCCAACCATAAGAATAAATGTATTTAATGACTGTTCTTAAACTTATCTGGAAGAAGGTAATGTGTAACTGTGCTCAAATACAGTTTTTTAAAAATTGTTCAGCAACAGAAAAGTTGTTTTCAAATCTGCTGTAAAGTTATGAACTAAAAATCTTAAACTTGCTGCTGAAGTACTTGATCAGCAAGAATGAATTTATATTTAATTTCCATGAGTTGCCATTTTCATTCTAAATTACTAAACTGCTGACATCATGAAATACTGACACTAAAGTAAGTACAAGCTTGGTAACTCAGGGCTGTGCTCCAAACCTGTTTGTTTACTATGACTTCTTTGTAGTAGTGAAGTTTATGATTTTGTGACTATGACTGTACTGTAGCTTGTTGAGATGAAAAACTATAGTAAAGATTTAACAGTCTCAGCTGTTTGGTCCCAAAAATCGGATTTCAGCAGTGATTTTGTTAAAATGTATAGTAACTTAAAATGGAAAGAGCGTCAGTGTTAATTTTTGTGGCCTTAGACTGTTTCTGTCTTCTGTGTTCACAGATTTCTCATGTTACTTGTCTGTGATTTCTGCCACAACACACTAGTGATTTGTTTTCTTTCCTTAATATTTTCTTGTAGATGTTTGACTGGATCACACACAACAAAGGTCTGTTTCTGAACAGCTACACAGAGATTGGAACCAGTCACCCCCACGCGATGGAGCTTCAGACACAGCACAATCACTTTGCCATGAACTGTATGGTAAGAACAGGCCTCACTTCACAGCACTGACATGATGTCTATTTGTTAAGGTATAATTCGTAAATCATACGCATAAGTCATTCCTTCTGTTACATATAGGGCAAATTTGTATTTGAGCAGTGAAATTACGAAACACAAAGGAGGAAAATAGAGGGTGGCCAACTACAGAGGTACTGCGATCAAGCAACAAAGTTATTTTGACCAATAGCAGTATTCAACAAAACCTTGACACTTCTCAAATATAAACATCCGAACTTCTACAACCTGGGATGTGTGTTTGAGTACTGCTTTGAGTCTTTTAGGAAATTTCAGGGAATCATGTAATATGGAATTTAACACTCTATACAGAAAGAAATAGCTCTCAGGATCTTCTGAATAGATTGCAACTCAGACAAAAAGCTCTGAGAAGTAGTGATCAGTAGCCGAGCCTGGTATAATAATTTTCCCTGTTTTTAAGAAGACACACTTCTCATTTCTGGCATAGTAGAATGGAGCTAAACAAAACAATTTTTTGTCAAATATGATCTTAGGATGAGCTACGAGTAGCCTGTAATTAAAAATTTGTATTTTAACTGACGGTGAGTGAAAGCTGCTGATTTTCAGTTTCATAAATTCTTGTTCTGACATGGGGACTAAATTCTCAAGTGTATTTTAGGTCCTTTTCAATAAGCAGATTGGAGGTGTTTAAATACCTTTGAGAGTCTGGGCCTAAATCCAGTCCCTGGCTGTCCTCTCAGTAAAGGAAGAACACTACCACTCTTGTTAGAAATTAACATCCGTGGCAGTCCAGAGATGGGAATTGAATTCAATATGGTTGAAACAATTGACTCTTGAAAGAGAGTGTTTTTGTAGGACAAAACTGCTACTTGTGGAAAGAGAGAATGGCAAAGTAAACTAACCTACATTAAATATCTTTTGAAATCAGGGATGGACTAGTAAGGCAGCTCTTGTGTGTGGTATTGCTAGAGTTAAGGCAATTGGAGGTATGAGCAGGGAAAGGTACATTTTCTTCTTTTGCAACTCTGCTATGTTTGCAAAAGTTTTAAAAAATAAAAATCTATATGAACTTTTTGAAAAGAGAAAAAGAAATGCTGGCAAACATAAGTTATGGGACATCATATATGGGTGTAACTTTGGCCATTAGGTTTGGAAGGTGTAGGTTCACTCCACAGGCACGGGGAATTGCTCCTTTACGGAGTACCTCATTGCTGTTGCTCATTGCTCTGCATATAAACTAGAGCAGAAAGAAACTCACAGAAGTTCAGTAGGAGTCGTTGACATGACTTCTGGAGCTTAGTAATTTTGGATGGCCTTCCAGGCAATTCTTGGGCTTGTACTCTAAAGGTTAAATTCTTCTTCTGTAAGCCTGTTGTGGTATTAGTCACTGTTGTCCTCTTTTCTTCAAATTGGATGGCTTTCCCCCCCCACCTCCTTCCATACTGTTCAGATGCTGTCAACAGTACGAAACACTTGAGTGGTGTAGTATAATCTGTCCTGTTCTGTTTAGTTAGTCCTGCTGTTAGTCTTTTTCTGTTAATCTCCATTTTGCCTGTAGTAATCATATGTGTTAATTACAGAGGACTTTTTCTCAGCCTGTACAATGTTTTCTTGAAGCATGCAAGGAGCAGCTTAAATCTGGGGCAAATTAAACAGCCCAGATATTCAAGAAAGGAAAAACAAGCTGCAGTTTTTTGATGTTTCTGTAGCGTAGTCCCAAAGAAAAGAGGTTCTTTGGCACAGAATAGGAAAATAAAAATTCAAACTGACCACTCCCTGGTTTTGATTTAAGCAGCATTCAGGTTTTCTGGGGTTTATTTGGTTCAATGGCAAAAGCCTTACATGTAGATTAGGGAGAAAAATTAGACTGAATGTGGTATGAAAAAAAAATGAAGTGAGCTGATTTAATTTGGATAGGCCTTATTTTTTGTTAGATTTTAACTGGAAAAATGTCGGATGATGTTAACTCCTGCAAGCGTGTTCAGCTTCTCCCTTCACAAACACTCTGTGCTGTTTGTCCACTGTTCCTGTCAGTGTAACTCTGCAGTAATCAGAGTTGATTTAAGATCACTTACCTGAATGCTTTGACACTAGAGATGGAATTTAACTTTTAACCCATCTACAGCCATGCAAATGTATTCAATTGGATGAGGTAGAAGAAGGAAGAGTTACAACTACATATTAGGTTTATTATTATATGCAGGAGAATTTGAAGGCTTATTTTGAACGCCCTAGTTGGACCCTCACAGATGTTGCTTTCTAGGCAGTTTCCTTAGGCTTACTTTAGATGAGGAAGGGCTGTTCAAAGAATAAATGCTGCCCAAGCAGCTAAATGCAACCTCTTGCACTTGGTCACAGCTTAACCCTGATAATTGATGTTGCAGCTGCTTTTCTCAATACATTCTGGTTGCTGCAGGGCGCATGCTCCCTTCACAGCAGGTGCTACCCTCTGTCAATAGCTGGCTCTCCCATCTCCCCTTCCTTCCCGAGTAGCAGCTTGGCTTTCTGCAAGGTCCAGGAGGGCAGTTTCTGCAGCTGCTTATGCCATACTCGGGTGGGAAAGACTGACGGCCTTTGGGCGAGATGCCAAAATTTTAATCCAGCCTTCCAGTCTGAAATGAGCCACCTGAATGTAAACCATGGTGAAAGCTACTTAGTTCCTGTCATAAACAGGAGTTAGTTAGATCAAAGACAAAGAGGATTTGGTGAGTATTTCTTTTTTCCTTGTAATGGCTTTCTGCCATTTTTAGAATTCAGTTTTCAGTGTTGCAACACAAAGTAGCTGGAAGTTGAAATCAAATGTTGTAAAACAAATAGGTATGGAATACATTGGGGGAGTGAATTTAACTACTTTCAGTAATTGCATTAGCAAGTAATATGTCTAGGAATCTTGTGTGTTCTGTATGTGATAGGCTCATGTGGTTGCACTTCAAGGTAACGGGAATAAGTTCATGAAGGTCTTAAGCTTAATACGCAGACTGATTCTCATTGCAGTGAAACTGTTGGAGAGAAAGCAGTGATGCACATTGAAGATGGACATTTATTTGGTTACCACTGCTTAACACACAGGTTTATGTGGCTGCTGTCTGAAAGATAGTTCACATGTGCAGCTGTAGGTATGTGACCTGCTATTACTGAAGCCATGAGGCTGTGCACTGATAAATGTCAAGGCTGCATCTTTACAGAGCAAGCAGATCCTATCTTTCCTAACTGTGTGGAAGAATGAACTCATGATTCTTTTATCTAAAGATGAGGATGGTTTTTCAGTATCATTTAAAAGGCCTGCTTTCAGCAACAGTAAATTGCTGTTGTCAAGTCCTGAGATTTATTGGACTTAAGCAATACTCAGTTTCGGCTTGAAGTTCCTCTTCGGGTGCTTCACTTCTCAAAACAAGTTTTTAGTACCTTTTAAGGGATGAACTTTCAAATAGGACATCATAGGAGTTGCAAATAAAAAAAAATTATCTGTCTAGTTTTTGAACTGCAAATACAAAATACCCATGATTATATGCTTAGTCAGTCTTGTATGCAAGAGTGGGAGAGACTGATTCTGCATCTGTCCACTCTTTTTTCTGCTGCTTTCCATGCACTTTCTGTGTCACAAAAGGGAAACAAAAGCAATCATGTGAAATATGGATGAGGATGGTGTTATCTACTCAAATTGTTTCTGCTATTCTTCTTGCTAGAACAAATGGCCTTGCTTTCATTAAAGCCTAATTGTGCCCCTCACTGCACAGGTGAGGGTCAAGATGATTAGAAAGTGACGTAGGCAGAAGGAAGCTTTCCTTGGAGAAAGGGGCATGCTATGACTACTTCTTGTTTTGAGGCTGATAGGTAGCTATGTTTATTAGCCATAATCCAAAAAAAATCTTATGTCAACTGTAAACATATTGCTAAGTTGATTAATACTGTTCTCAGAACAGGCTGTTTGCATATAATAGATGGCTTTATCAAGGTGGTAATCAAATAATTAATATCATCCAAAAAGAGAGTGCCAGAGATGAGCTCTGGTGAGAGTCTGGGAGATTAACGTATGAACACAATGCTTGAATCTCACTGGGTTTACAGAGTTAAAAGTTACAAAGATGACGTACTTGGGTTGGCTTGCTTAAATCCAGCCACAGGGACTGGTACAAGTGTAAACATTAAGAAGGTTAGACGAGGTAAAATCAGCTTAGCTGACAGCTAGTGTGACTTTTTTCTTGTACTAATGATATTTTTCACTTTTGAGCTGCCTTTTATTTGAAATGTGTTTTTGTAACCATACGGGGTTGTCACTTGAGACAGACTTAAGCACCATGTGAATTCTAGACTCCTTTGGGTCCTCTGAGACCTCAGCAAATGAGAGCAAGACCATAGGTTATGAATTGTGCATTCTTCCTTGGATTGCTTTGAAGTGCAGATTTGTAACAAAAGACTGTGCAGAAAGGTGAATAATAGTGAATAAGAGAAATCTTGGGGGAGAACATGTCCATTTTGTATGTTTTTGTTTTTTAGACTAATAGGTTGCTCAAGTGAGGCTTTCAGTCAAAATAAGTAAATAAAATTGGTAAAATCCATTAACTGTCCAACTAGTCTAACATCCTGAATAGACAAGGCAAAAACTCAAAATGAGGATAGGGCAGCAGAGTAGGTAAAATGTGTTCAGTCAGGTTTTTGGTAGTTCTGAATAACCATAGCTTAAGCATACCATGGATTTGTGGATTTTTTTTTTTTTTTTTTGGTCAGACAGAGGTTGTTTTTTGAGTTCATGCCCATAAGGAAATCTTTCTGATGCCAGAGCAGTTAATGCTTAGACACAATGTCTGGATGCGACCAACCTGAGAGGAGACTGAAAAGGCAAAATGAGTTCAGGCTATTTCCGGCTTCTGAGGAGCACCCACGAAGTTGACAAGATGAAATAGAATAGGCTAGATGTGCAACCCTTAAGAAGGCAGAAGCAAATAAACCAGTTTTAAAAAGCAGTCAGCTAGAGGGATGTTCATACAGCAACAAGGATGTTT